AACAGATGTGTTACTGTCCTCACAGCCATCCCAGCCACAACCAGAAGGGACTGAATCACCTCACCAGGAACCCAAGGGGACGAGCACCCACCAGGACTTCCCATCTAGAGGTGCCAGATATCAGCTCAAAACTCTGCACTACTTTGACAATGCTCTGGAAAAAAATAAAGGCCTAAATAGATTATCAAAGTTCACATTTCACTGCTCAGTGAGACAAGAAAGAAAATAAGACAGTAAGAAAAATATGCTGTGTTAGGAGCCCTTATAGTCCAGGCCAAAGTGCAATCCCAGTAGGACTGAGGGGGAAAAGGAATGAAAGGGAACAAAAGAAAGAAAAAAATTATTCTACAAGGAAATACACTATTATCTCAACTGGAACTTTGACACATTTTTCTGGTGCTGAGCACTGGTAAAGGTGAGACACTCACTGCCCATAGGATTTTCCAAGCATTTCCAGAGCCCCCAGGGCAGAGCCATGAGGCTTCAACTGCTGCAAGAGAAACATCTAAGCAAAGACAGAGCTTAAATGAACTTAACTTAAATGAACTGAGCAAAGACAGAGCTTCCAGGAAAAGCTGAGGATCTGGAAGTGCAGCACAAGAACTGCAAACAGATTTATATACACACATCTTTCACAGATGTTTTACCTTAAGCACTTTGCAGATCACCTTTAGAACTCCAGAGATAGCACAGTCATTTATTCAATACCCAACTGTCCTGCTGGATAAACTTCTAAAAGTGAGAAATGCACCTGCAATCTCTGTGTTACTACAGTTCCCTCCCCTCTTCCTCCTCAAAGGCATAAAGAAAGAGAACAGCAAAGCAGAGAGAAGCCCAGGTGACATCAAAGGGATGCCAGAGAGAGAGGGCTGAGACCACGTCCTCCTCCAGCCTCCAACAGGTGTGAGACACCACAGGCAGAACCACCTCTTTCTCTGGGGAAAGATCACCTCCCTTCTCCCATTCCCTTTCCAGGCAGCACTAAAATCCATGAAGAGGTTGGAACAGCATTGTTTGTCAGAAACTGAGCTCCTGCACAGCACCAACCTCCTGTGAGGAGCACCATGGCCTTGTCAACCCAGGGTCTGACCTGCACACCAAATGAAGAGCTCCCCATGGAGAACCAGCTCATGTCAGGAGTTGTGCTGCTCCAAAGGATGTGGTAACTCAAGTTTTTGTTTTTCCCAACCAGAACACCTGTTCTGGTCAAAGGAAAACAGGAATTGCCATCCCAGGCTAAGCTACAGCTCCATAGCCACAAGGCCCCACACCCAGCTGTGACCAAGGGATGCTCCTGCTCCAGGACTGCCAGGCTCCAAGTGCTGCAGGATCCCATCTGCCATGGGCACAGCCTCCCTGCAGCAGAGGTGCCAAACACCTGGGTGCACAGCTGGATGAACACCTGAACACCTCAGCATCACTGTGCTCTGCCTGGTCTCCTGCTGTCAGTCTCAGCAGGGGATCCCAGTGCCAAGTACCTGAGGGGAGGAGATTAGTCCTTTCCTCCTTCAAAGTTGCCATCCTGCACCTGGGAATGCAGAGGCTGCAGCTGCTCAGTGGAAAGCAGCACTTCCCTGGCTCACAGCAGCTTCCTACCTGCAATAGGAAGGAGAAAAGGGGGGAAAAAAGGCTCCTCCAGGAATTTAAACCCCTGACATTCTCTCAAAGCAGTTTATTTGAGAGCAGTGACTGTGCAGGTCTCACCCAGCACTACACTCTGGCACTGTGGCTCTACAGAGCAGCTGCCTCAGGTGAAGGCTCAAAAACTCTGGGGCTAATGGAGAACTTAATTCCCAACTCCCTTTCCTGCTCCTTCATGCACTGCTTTAGTGGAACTTTGCACCCCTGGTGTTGGGGAATCAGAAAAGGAGCAGTTTGCCTTAAAGTCAACATGGAGTTAGGAGCAATGCACATGAGAACTGAAATCACTTGTGATTCTTGCAAAGAAACCACTTTTTCATAGTTTCTCTCTGAGTCAGACTAAAGACAATGTGACCTAATAAAAGCTTTTTTTCCACTCATCTTCCTTCTCCCTGCCCTCTTCCTCGCCCTGTCACAGGAACCTAAACTCACACCCACATGTAGAACTGAACTGGAACATTTCCCATGGACAACAACACGGTCTCAGCCACAGCTTTTTTTTCTCTCTGTATTGGGCAATTTTACTCAGAAAGGGACACTGAGCCTAGTAAGCAACTTCCACTGCCTGGGATTCACCCCCAGAACTGGAAATTAAAGTGCTGGAACACACAGAGTTGTTCCTTCAGTTAGATGTTACATTTAAAGTTCAATGATTTCTCTTTACCAGGATGAAGGCAGGAGAGCAGAGCCCAGCTGGGAGCCACAGAGCACTCCTGCAACACCTCCTGCTCTAGGAACAAAGCACACACACCACAACTGCCCACCCAAGGACCTCCCACCTCCAGGCTGCTCCCTCAGAGCCAGGTTGGATGAGGTTTGGAGCAACCTGGTCTAGTGGAAGTTGTCCTTCCCCATGGCAGGGGATGGAACAAGATGAACTTTAAAGTTCCTTCCAACCGAAACCATTCTGTGACTCTATGATTATAAACTGGGGCAGCTCAGCTACTGCCCCACAAGAGTATGAGCCTCCCATGAAACAGGAAATCTTTGTGGAGATCTCTAGCATGATGATCTTCACCAGTGCTGGAGACAAACAGCAGCCACAGGCACTGCTGCAGCAGTGCTGATGGGCCTCACTTGGGGGACATTCCCCTAAATCTCAGGCAAGGCTTCCAGCCTTGAAATTCCACCAGACGTTCCTGGTTCATCTTGGACTCAGGGAAAGCTCAGGTTTGTATACTGAGGTGTAACTGGTCAAAGACCATTCAAAGAGGCAGCAGTGGAGCTAAGGAATGTGCTAACACAGTTCAAATGAGGATCTGACACTGCCCTCAGAAGCCTTTCTGAGTCAAGGGGGAGTGAAAAGGGGGGAAAACACAGCAATTCATGCTAAGCCTTTAGCCCAAACTGCACCTTTTATCAGCCTTTGGAGCTGCAAGTTCCAAGTTTTAGATCCCAGGTTCAATGCTGACAGGTTACCTGGAAATCCAAGGGGATTTTCCCAAAGGGAACACAATCCAGAGCAGGGTCAGGCATACACTGCAGGCTGTGGCTCCCATCAAACACACATCAATGCTGCAGCAGCTCAGCCTCAACCAGTCATGGCATTGATGAAGCTATTCAACAGGGCTGATTGCTAAAGGAAACAACTGTTCAAGCAAACTTGAAGAGAGAAATCAGACTTTCAGTCCTTGCATCCCAGCTCCACACACTGCTGCCCATCCCTGAGCCAGGAAACTGGGCTCAAAGAATCTATTCCATGCCATCTTGTGAGTCTGTTGGAATGATTTCATGTTCAAGCAACATTGAGAAATGTCAGTTCTTTGCCAGCACTAAACACAGTTATTAGCAGGCTTGAGGGACATGAACCAATGTTCTGTTGATGATGATCCTCCAATGATCCCAGCTGGGAACGAAGGTCAGAGAGGAACAACGGACACAGCACAGCAACCACACACACCATTGTCTGTCACACACATGGTGTGCTTGGGAAGGGAAGGATACATTCAGAACATTCCAGAAGAATGGAGACTCTGCAGCTCACAGGGACACTCCTTTGCCTGGCAACAGAACCAGACAATAAGCTGGAGTGGCTGGAATCTGAGCACCTTGCAAAGCTTCAAGACTGTTCCCACCAGGGAGGCTTCTCAGCTTCCTTCTGACACAGAGTATTTGCTTTAAGTCAAGATCAGTCAAGACATATGAGGCACAGAATTGCCCCTCTTCCCATCTCCCTGGATTTTTTATCTCCACAGACTCTAGACACCTTAAGATCATCAAGAGCTAAACAAACTAGGCTTATAGCCCTGAGTCAAGCAAGGCAAGGGATCAAAGAGTCTCCCCCAGAGCAACACGACCTCTCACTGACACCTCAGACTTTGTCTCTGTTCTGCCCACACCAGAGGCCCATACTCCACTGGCACTGGCAACAGGACTCACGTGCTCCCAGTTAATATCCAAGCACTGTGGCCACATCTGACACAGCATTCAGTATTTTGCCTGTTCTGAGCTTTACTTTCTAACTAGAGCAGCTTGACAAAACATTCTGCTGGACAGAAGAGAAAGAAAAAGCAATGCTGTACTCACACACAACTGAACTAAGTCCAAAACTCTGTTTCTAGATAAGAGCAGGGATTTTGATGGGGCCAGTTCAGTGCTTTTCTAATGCTCTGTTAGGGAAAGGAGAACAAAAATACAACAAATCCCTGCAGAGCTATGAGAAGTAACTAGTCAAGGAATAATAAAGCCAAGGAAAGAAAGGAGGGAGTGGGGAGAAAGATAAAGGGTGGTGGGTTTTTCTTTTCCCTAATCCCACTGACACATTTATTAAGCCCTCAGATTTGTGTGCATGGAACTCACAGACAGCCCTGCAGGAAAGACTTTGTCAAATTAACACGTGCTGCATCCTGCACAGTAAAAGCAGAACCCACACAGGAGGCACAAAGTACCCCCTAACCACAGGAGGTGTGGGGGGTCTAACCCCACCAGCCACCCTGAGGCCATCAGGGCCTGCTCTGCAGCAACAGGGAAACTCCCAAGAAAACACGAAGTTAGCTTTCCTAGAGGAAGGAAAAGGGCTTGGTCGTGGTGGGGAGGGATCAGAGTTCAGCTAAAACCTGTCACATAGAGGAGGTTCAAAGTAACTCCTTGGCACTTCACAGCCACACCAAAGCAGAAGTGAAAATTACCTATCAGGTCTTCTGGGAGTGGTGAGGGGTGGACAGAAAAGCAGATTTGCATCTCTTGGGGATGAATAATAATAGACTAGAAGAATAGACACAGGAGAAGGGACCCACTGTTTGTGGGGGCACACCTGAGGCACTGGGGGCACAGAGCACATCTCCAAGCTCCCAGTTTTGTCCCCATCACATGCTGACCTGACAAGCAAGGTCTGGCCCTCAACAGAGGCAGGTGCTCACCTTCCTCTTTGTTGTTGGTGATATCTTTCAGCAGCTCAGTCTTCATGCAGGCGTCTTTCCTTGGCTCTCCCTTACTCAGCACTGCTCGCTAAGAGGGGAAAGAAAATAGAAATTCAGTGTTTAGCTCAATGTTCACACACAGGTTGCATTGAAAAGAAGAGACAATCATGGACACATCCTGTTTACATCACGGGCAAACCTTCCTCTCCAAAATAAGGTTGCCAGGAAGCTGCCACCAAGGCACAGGTCACAGATAAAACACAGCAGGGCTGGCCCTGGCTGACAGCCTGAGCCACCCCAGGAGCTGAGGTGCTCTGAGCTGAGACCTCCCAGCTCTCGGGTTAACATGCAGCCAGACAGATCTTCCAAGTGCAACGTCCTTGGGAATCCAGCTGAGTCTGCCTGGATGGGTGCACGAAAAGCATCTGGAGCAGGTGACTCTTACTTCCCCAAAATCTCTTAGGCTTTGGGTGGGAGAGGTAGATCTATCAGACTTCTCATTACACATCATTTATCAACATTTCCAGCCCAGGAGGTTTGGTAGTTTAGTTGGGATTTTTATGTAGCTTGTTCAAATGTCCTTACAAAATGCAAACCATCACTCAGCTAACTCCTCATTCATAATACCAATGTTTATAAAAGTTAATGAGCTCTATTTTTAATTCTATAGAAAGCAATTTTCCTTCCCCCCCCCCTTTTTTGGTACATTTTTATGCCAAAAGGGAACACCTGCTCATCTCTGCCTTTCACATGCCTCGAGCCACGTCATTAGATCAGGTCTGCAGCCTCAATAGCTTCTCTTTCTCTTTCTGATTTGGAAGTGGCAAGGCAAAACACCAAACAAACAGAAGGGGAAAGGTGTTTAAAGCCCCCAGAAGAGAAGGGTCCTTTGGCACAGGTCAGATGAGCTGGTCTGAAGTTGGTGACAGCCCTGCAGAGCTGCGGCACGCGGGAGGCGGCGAAGGGTTCACCACGATCAGCCTAGGTCAAGCCAACTGTGGTAGGCCAGCACGGAGAGCAGATGGTGCCTACAGCCATGCAAATCACCAGGTTTAAAGCACACTGAGTGATAAAGGAAAAAGCAACCTGCCCATGTCCCATAAGGCAAGACAGAGAAGGTGCACGCACGAAGCTTCGGCGTACCAGGTCCCAAACTGCTCGCAGCACTGGCTCTCCTGATCCCATGTGGGATTCTGTCTGGAGCTTGCAGGGGAAATGGGCTCTGGTGCTGCTATTGTTGTCACCAGCCAGCCTGATGGCTTTGTTTCCATGTGAACTCAGCTGCAGCCCTCAGAGCTGGCAGGTACTGCACCCCCAGTGCAGCAGCCCCATCCAGCCCCACATCCCTGCAGGATCACCCTGCCCTGTGCCCAAATATCACCATCTACAGAGCAACACACACCAAAGGGAAGGAGGGAGCGCCAGGGGGTCCTGAGAAAGTCTCTACCACCTGCCAGGCCTGGAGCTAAGGGCACCTTCAAGGAGGAAGGAGGTTGTGGGTGGCTGCCTGTCCCCAGCCTGCCCTGAGCACAAGCAGACAGCACATCCAGCCATGTCTTAGTGCTCTCAGCACCAGGGAACTTGTGCTCTGAGCACAGCACCTTCACATCTTCAGCCACGGATCAAAAAGCAAGCTGTGAGCATGTGAAACCTCAGCTCAGCCCACTGGTCGAACAGCCTGAAACAGAACCTACCTCCAGCAGACACTGGCCAACAGCTTCCATTGAGAAGTGATCATAAAACACAGCCCAAAGTCTGAACATAGATCAGCTTATTTATTTATTTATTTGCTAAGTCAATAATATATATCCTTGCTGCAAGCATCTGCTTGTAAACACTACCTCTGCTCTAGTCAGACCTCTTGTAAGCTGGGAATGACTTCATTTTTCTCATTGATTACTCTGCTGCAAGACCAGAGCAAGGAGAGCTCAGAGTGCTCAAGGGCACCCATGGCTCCCACAGAAGCAGGGGCACCCAGGCCCTCACCACAGGCACCAACAGCAAATAAAGAGCCTCAGACTGTCTAACAGGGACCAGTCTGTTTTTCCAACCTTTGTTGCAACAAGGAAAGGTCTTGATATTCCTGCTAGTACACTAACTCATACACGAAGCCTGAGGATTTCCAGTAAGTCGTTCTTAGCCATCTGATTCTAAGTTTTTCTTGATTTTTCTAAGCAGTACCTCCACTCCACAAATCACCCACACTCTCCCTTCCACAGAGGCATAGACACTGCCCACGATGCTTGAAGAAAAGCCACTGCAGGAAGCCTGGAGTCAATCAGAGCTCTTAAGGATCACTCTCCCTCCTTGCTGCAGTCACCAGGAGCTCAGGGCTACCTGGGCTGTCAAAGCAGAATTTCCAACACCAAGAGAGGCAAGAGAGAAACCATCAGTTTTGCCCTGTGAGAGTACAAGAGCTGGGTGCCAAGGCAAGGCTGGAGGTGGCACCTCACAGGCTCTCCTGGTTCCCACCTCAGAGACTCAACAGCGACGGAGTTACAACTTTCCAACACAAACTCAGCAGCAAGGTAGAAAACATCATAATAATGAAAAAAACAAAAAGCCAACTGTGAAGTTTGAAGCATTTTGACCATAAGGAAGCTACAGGAAACCCCTGCAAAGCACTTGACAAAGCCTGTTACCCCAGGCCAGGGCTCTCCCCTCTCTGCTCCATCAGCCCAGCACCCTGGGGCAT